TTTCAATCTCAGCTGAGGAAACTCATGCACTTTAAACCCTTTAAAAAAAAAAAAAAAAAAAAGAAACACAACCAACAACAAATTTGAAATATCTTATTTCAACACCAGAAGAATGCAGCTCCCCAGCCAGATGCTGGGCTCGGGATGGAAGCCTCAGACCTGGTTTTGTTCCCCTAAAAGAGGGAAAAGTGTGGAAAAAATAAAAGTGATCCAGCTCTGCCTCGCTGGGAGCCCAAGGCAGCACCTCCTGCCTGCTGCAGCAGGTTGGATCAGGCCCTTGGAGAGGACACAAAACTCCTCTCTCTGCCCTGGCCAGCCTGGCTTTTGTGTCTGATCCAGAACTAATGGATTTGGCTCGCATTCCTCGCTGCTGGCTTTTATCTGCTCTCCCTTTCACTGGGAATTGTGCTACCAAGCTCCTGTCACCCAGAGGGTGTTAAGTGACTCCAAGAGGGACAAAGGCCCACAGAGCTGCCAGATTTCCTCTCTGCAGAAGCTGCAAGGCAGAGGTTTTTTCTCCCTCCTAAAAGACCACAAGCTTCTGGCTACGGATCCACCTTTATTTAGGATTTATATAATCCCAACTAGGCTTCAAGCAACAAGAAAACTTTAAATGGTGGAAGGGGATATAAAGAAAACAGGCAAATGGAGCCTTGGTGTTTAAAATAGCCATTTTCCAAAGGAGAAAAGAACCCAAAATGGGATTTCAGCTCTTCCCTTGCAGCTGTTCTTAAAACCTGACAGTTTAATTCAAGGGGCACCACAGTGTCGCCTCCTGATAACACAGAAAAACATCCAGTGCTACCAGAAAACAAAAGGAAAAGTCCATTTCCAAGTATTCTAACTGCTAGGAGAGATGGAAAACAGGCCATTCTGACTGCAGAACAGTTACTTGGAAGCTGAACAAGCAAAGGAACTCTTAAGAGAATAAAAGTGTGTTTAGTTTGTAAAGTTTCCCAGTGCTGAGGACAAGGGCAGGCCCCTGGGGAGGGATTTCTCTGCTGCCTGTGCTCCAGAGGCTGCTGGGGACTCTGCAGCCAGAAATCACCTCCCAGCACCCCAAACCTTCCTCCCCCTCAAAATCCATTCAGGTCTCACCTTGCACAGGTCCTGCTTCAGCTGCTGCAGTTCTTTCATGGGGTTATTTCATTTCAAAGCTGTTGTCACTGGGGAAATAGGAGTGTCCAACCTTGAGGAGATCCTGTACGTGAAACAGGAATTTTGGGATGCTGGCCATGGTGTCTGGGAAGGGCTGGAGGTGACAGGAATGGCAGCTGCCACTGTCCCAAGTGCCACAGCCTCCTTCCATTTCTTGTAGTCAAATCCCACTGTCACTGGGTTTTACCAGCAAATCCATGGGACTCTCTCACTTCCCTGGTTCCAGAATTCCCCATTTTCCCTTGGAACATTCCTGAGCCCCCCTTGGCCAGGCAGGGCCGTGCTCTCCTCGCTGCTGCTGCACTCAGGGCAGTTTGCAGGGCATTAACCTTGGCTCCAAGTGTTGGGAATTGATCTGCAGCTTCCCAGTTCCAGCATTCAGCTCCCCAAATTGCTGCTCCCCAGGGAGCAATTTGCCACGGAAATAATCCATTTGTCGCTGCAGGATTTGAAATCAAGGCTCCAGAGCCTGAAGTGCAGCCCCAGCTCCTCCACCATTATTAGTTCCATCCATTTCAGAAGCTTCTCTGCACGGAGGGTGGGATGATAACACAGCCTCAGGGGCAGAGCTGGGAGGCTTGAGAGGCTCAGCTAATTGGAAATTAAAGGCAAGAAAGAAATTCTTTGGACTCTTAGGCCAGGAAGAGCTGGAGCTTTTAGTGCTCAGCATAATAAACATAAAGAAAGGAACATCACAGCCCCAAACTCCAGCATTCCTTTGGCATTTCTGTCTCTGCTGGAGAACAGAAGCCACCACCAGAGCAGTTTGGTTGCTGCAGGTCCCTGAGTGGGCAGGAAATCCCTCCTGCCCCAGTTCCTGAGCTAGGAAGTTCAGGGCTGCAGCTCAGGATGGTTTTTAAGGGCAGATGTGGCCACTTTGTGCCCTGAGTGGGCAGTGGGGGCTGCAGGCACCATCCCCACCCCTGTGCTGGCCCTGGCCGGGAGATTGATCCAGGTGAAAATAATTCCAGGAAAACAAACCAAGTTATTTTAACCCCAGTCAGTCCCATGATCCATGAGGAAAATCTGGGAGAGTGTCCCAAAGCCAGGTGTCACTCCCTTGGCTCACAGGTGAAATCACAGACTGCACTGCTGATAAATTAGTTTATTTTCCCTCATGAGTTCTTCACCTCACCACTTTTAAATCTGTACAATTTTAGGAAAGGCATTCATTTAAAATTCCTCCTATTATCCAGCTGGAAAACAACTATTCCTATTTAAACTTAAAGCAGGAGCTTTGTCACATTAAACCCTGATAATTTATGATCTGCTTCGTGTCCTTTTACTCTAAACAGACACGTCATGGCTTCACTTACTTGCTTTCAAGTGCAGCATTTTCCTGCAGGATCTGTGTCCTGAGATCAGTCCAGGGATGAGGAATGAGGCTTTGCTGTGCTGGGAGGGGGACAAGCACAGAGTGGCTGCTCAGTGCAAGTTCAGGGGCAAAGCAGCATCTCCCAAAGGCAGCTGTGACAGAGCAGGGGAGGGAGCAGCAGGCAGGGGACAGGGAGGAGGTGGCCAGAGCAAACTCTGGGACTGAGGAGCGTGGCCAGGCCAGGCTCAGCTCTTCCTAAGCAGCACAGAACCCCACAAGAGCTGTTTCCTCACAAGGATTTGAGGGCTGACAGGATTGCCAGGGAGCTGCAGCCAGGGACTCCCTCCTCTGGTTGGATTTTCCAGTGAATGCAGGGCTCTGACAGCCCCAGTGACACCACTGTGGAATCAAAGCCACTGAGGCTGGAAAAGACCTCAGAGATCATGGAGTCCAGCCCTCAGCACCACAGTCACCCCAATGCCACATCCATGTGGGTTTCAACACTTCAGGGCTGGGGATATCACCCCTGCCCTGTGCCCTGCTTTTCACCCTTCCCATGAATAAAATTCCCTGATATTCAACCTCAATCTCCCCTGGCACAACTCTCCTCCTGTCCCTGTCCCTGTCCCTGTTCCCTTTCCCCTCCTGGCAGGAGCTGTGCAGAGCCAGGAGGGCCCCCTGAGCCCCCTTTGCTCCAGGCTGAGCCCCCTCAGCTCCCTCAGGATTCTCCAGCCCCTTCCCAGCCCCCTCAGGATTCTCCAGCCCCTTCCCAGCTCCCTCAGGATTCCCCAGCCCCTTCCCAGCTCCCTCAGGATCCTCCATTCCCTTCCCAGCCCCCTCAGGATTCTCCAGCCCCTTCCCAGCCCCCTCAGGATTCTCCAGCCCCTCCCCAGCTCCCTCAGGATCCTCCATTCCCTTCCCAGCTCCCTCAGGATTCCCCATTCCCTTCCCAGCCCCCTCAGGATTCTCCATTCCCTTCCCAGCTCCCTCAGGATTCCCCATTCCCTTCCCAGCTCCCTCAGGATTCTCCAGCCCTTTCCCAGCTCCATTTCCTTCCCTGGACATGGAGAAGCCCCAAAGCAGAGCTGGAGCAGCCCCAGCAAACAGGGAGCTCCTGGTTTTATCAGTGCTGACAGACCCACAGCTGCTGGCAGCCCTGAGCTCCCCTCTGAGGGAGCTGCTGGCCACATCTCCCAAGCCTTGAGCTGTGTCCAAACAAGGAGGAATGTTATGGGTGAGCTGGAAGTGCTGTGATACACTTGAAGGACAAGCAGGAACATCCTGAGAAATGTGGGCTATAAACAAATGGCACTTGCAGATGTGCAGGGATCCCTGAAATGCTGGCTGGGATTTCTGAGAGGTGCAACAGCAAGAGCTGACCCAAGGGCTGTTGTCATTCCAGTTTAATGGGATTATCCAGCACGAGACACAAAGCAGGAATTACCATGGAGGTACACAGAGCATGGGATGGGGGAATGGGAGGGTTTGGGGTTACAGGAGGGTAGGAAGCAGCTGGAGCCTGGAGCTGGCACAAGGGCAGAGCTCTCCAGCAGCTCCAAGCTCAGCTGGGGAGGGATTTGAGCTGTTTCCAGGTACAGAGCACCTGGATTTTCCTAAGGCAGCACAACATCACACAGAGAAGGCACCTGTGCTGTGGAAAACACTGCAGGGGTGGAAGTGCAGCTGTTGTGGGACCAGTGGAGAATCATGGAATGGTTTGGGTGGGAAGGGATCTGAAAGCTGACCCTGCTCCACCCCCTGCCATGGGCAGGGACACCTTCCACTATCCCAGGCTGCTCCAAGCTTCTCTGGGCACCTGTGCCAGGGCCTCCCCACCCTCACAGGGAACAATTCCTTCCTTATATCCAAGATAAACCTCCCCTCTTTCAGTGTGAACCCAAACACGCTCAGGCTCCCTCCAGCTGCTGCCCTGAGGGCCCAGAGGAGGCTGGTCTGGCTCCAGACAGGTTTATTGGAGATGGGGAAGGGTGTGGAGCAGGCTCCAGGGCAGAGCAGGGATCTGCCCTGTGGGATTGAGCAAAAACTGATCCTGTGTTCCCCAGGAGAGCTGCAGCCAGGCTGGGGAGGTTTGCACAAGGACAATTCCTGGGACAGCATGTGCTGGAAATGGAGTCAAGAGCTAAGGACTGATGCCAAGGCGCATTTCTGAGCCCAGAGCACCAGATGGGAAGCAGGGCTTGGAGCAGCTTTAGACCCAGATTTCTGGAAATGAAGGAAAGCCCTGAAATGAACACCTGACCCCCACAAGTCCTGCACCAACCACTGGCAACAGAATCCTGGAATGGTCTGGGTTGGAAAAGACCTCAAAGCTGATCCAGTGCAGCCCCACTCCCACCATCCCAGGGTGCTCCAAGCCCTGCCCAGCCTGGCCTTGGGCACTTCCAGGGATGCAGGGGCAGCCCCAGCTGCTCTGGGCACCTGTGCCAGGGCCTCACCACTCCTACAAGGAGGAATTCCTTCCCAATATCCCATCCATCCCTGCCCTCTGGCAGGGGGAGCCATTCCCTGTGTCCTGTCCCTCCATCCCTTGCCCAAATTCCCTCTCCAGCTCTCCTGGAGCTCCTTCAGGCCTTGGCAGGGGCTGTAACCCCAATCCAGCCCTCACCTGAACACAATCCCCACCTTTCCTGAAACCATCACCTGGGAATGTTTGCAGCTACACATGGAAGGAACTCAGAGCATTCTCCCTGGATCAAACCCCATAGCTGTGAGCAGGAGGGATCCCTGATTTGCACCCAGAGCTCACAGATTTGGGGAGAAAGCAAAAACAAGTTGATGTCCAGAGCTCACAATGGAAATGAAATGTTAAAACAACAAGCCACAGGCAAACAAAACATGGGCAGCTTGGGCAGGGCTCTCTGGCAGCTCTGAGTTTCCTGACTGTCCCGTGGCTCCTGTTGGGGCAGCTGAGGGAGCAAGGCTGGGTGGGAGGAACAGGAGTGATCCAGGGCATTCTGGAGCTGGTGGCAGAGTCCAGAGAGCTTTTCCAGCTGACCCAATCTCCCTGGAGTTACCATGTAGGGAAAGAGCTGGGGGGAGAGAGGAGTAGAGGCTAAACCCTGAGCATGAGGAATATAAACACTGGCCCTTTTGGAAGAGCAAGTGATGATATCATGCACACATCACACCCTTCCTGTGTAAACAGGAGTGCCAACAGGAGCAGGCATTGCACACTGGATGTCCTGTGGGCAGCTCTGCAGGGCTGCAGCCATCAGTGAGGCCAAGAGCATTTCTTAGGATCAGACTCGGGTGCTTTCAGGCACTTCCCAAGCTTCTCGCAGCCCGGAGGGGCCCAATTCTGTTAAAAACAAACAGAAACAGACAGAAAGATGATTCACACCAAGTATCTGCTAAGCTCTCACCCCAAGCAGCTCTTTATGATCCTCACAAAGACACTTTTATGTGCTGCTTGAAAAATGAAACTCCTCTTGCAGCCCAAGCCTCTGGGCTCATAAACTTCCCCACTCCAAACAGTGCTCAGATCAAAGCTGGGAAAGGCTGCAAACGCTGGGCTGTGCATGATTCCTGTGCTGGGACACTCCAGGCCCTCCTGGCCTCTCCCAGCCCAGCTTGGGGCGTGCTGCTGACCCTGCTGTGGCAGCACAGAGGAACAGAGCACGAGGTTTGGGGGACACCAGGGCAGTTCCCACTCTCAGCACTGCACTGTCCTGAGGAGCAGGAGGCAGCACAAGGCCAAGGGTGTGAGAGAGATAAGAATGCTGGTATTTTAATGAGTGTTTTGATGGAGGGATCCACGGGCACAGGGAGCAGGAAGCATTCCTGAGACACCTCTTCCAGTGCCTGCACACCAGAACTATTTGTTTGCCTTGTTTCCACGTTTCTGGAGCTACCTGAATGTGCGGAACAGAAAAAGGAGATCCACTGCCAGCCTCAGCTTCCAGAGGGATTAATGGAGGAAGGAATTTGGATAGATGAACATTTTTAATTTCACTGAGGTTTTGCCATTACAAATTTGGGATTGTGGTCATGGGAAGGGCAGATAACACTTCCCATTCTGCCTTCAGGAATCTTTTGTGCCTCCCTCTCTCAGGTCTGTCCATCCATGGGACATTCCTGCTGTCCCCTATTAAATGCCAGTTCAACACCAACCTCCTGCCTTTTGTTTTGCTGATTTTCACCTTGCAAATATTTCTGTTTCCTTGGAATTAAATTCCTACAGAAAAGAAATGCTCAACCCCAGGAAAACACCACTGGAGCAGGTTTTTGTTCCATGGAGCTGACAACAGATGGCAGTGAGACACCAGCAATTCCTGCAGAGGAGCAGACCCAGAGGGAGCTGTGCTGGAGCCACCTCTGCACCGAGGGCTCTGCAGCTTTCTGAACAATTCATGTCGTTTGCTAAATCTGCTCCTCTGGTTTGAAATGTGCAGCCACGGCTGGGAAACTCAGAGCACTCTGCAAAAGGAACTGAGAGCCAAAGGAACACATGAAGTGCAATGTTTGTTCTTTTGAAAAGGCAGAACAATAAAGGGTCTGTGCTGCCTCCTGCAGCCCTGGTCCTGCTGCTGGGCTGAGCTGGGAGCCCCGGGGACACCCCGAGCTGCAGAACAGCTTCTGCCACACTTACAGAGCAGGGACATCCAGCAGAGCCTCTGGGGGAGCTCCCTGGGCAGCGGGATCCAGCAGGGATGGGCTGCAAACACCTCCCTGCCCCTGCCTCCATCCCTGCTCTGCAGGAGCTGCACAAGGAGCCAGCTGCTGTCCTGGAATCCTGCAGTGCCTGGCTGGGAAGGGACTCAAAACCCATCCAGTGCCACCCCTGCCATGGCAGGGACACCTCCCACTGCCCCAGGTGTTCCAAATCCCATCCAGCCTGGCCTTGGGCACTGCCAGGGGTCAGGGGCTGCTCTGGGCCTGCCCACCCTGCCAGGGAACAATTCCCAATTCCCAATATCCCATCCAGCCCTGCCCTCTGGCAGGGGGAGCCATTCCCTGTGCCCTGTCCCTCCGTGGCCTTGAACACTTCCTTGAACACTTCCCCACACTTTGTTTGTGTGTAAGTACAGACAATTCTCCTCCTCTCTCCCAAACACATCAAACAAACACCGTTATCAAAGCATCAGGTGGCAGCAGATAGTGGCAGTAAATTATATTTATCTCCCAGCACCCCCCAAAACCAGATTTAGCCCCCAGTCCACCCAGCAATGTAATCACTCCCTAAAGGTTTGCTCAGCTCCATTCCTGCTCTCAAAGCAGCAATCTGTGCCTGATACTTTGGGGTAGTGACCATGGAAAACTCACTGGGTTTCCTGCTGGGACTGAAACATTTCCCCTGGGCCCAGGATCTCCCCAGCCCTCCCTCCCATTTGGGAAGAAATGCTTTGCAGTGCTGCCTCTGGCAGCAGCCAGGCCCTGGGGACAGTGCCTGAACCCAAAAGTCCCAGAGGAGCAGAGAACAGTGTTTATTAAGGGAAAAATTGAATAAGGAAAGAAAACAACACAGAAACAATGGGCCCTCAAATCTTTTTCCTATTTAACATCCAAAAATAAAGAGAAGGGCCAAAGCTAAGGGAGATCTTTGCCTCGTTACTGAGGGGACACAGCTCTTTGCTGGTGACAGACCAGAGGCAGCAGGTTCTGACTGATTCAGGAGATGATTTATTTATTTATTATCAGGAAGATTTTGCCTGTTACTATTTTGTCACAGCCTGTTCCAAGGTTTTGTCTGTAAGAAGATTTTGCCTGTTACTATTTTGTCTGTCAGCCCACAGACACATTCCCTGGGATACACAACCTCCTGTCAAGTGACAACCTCCCCCAGATTATCCAGTTCCTCTCCCAGGTTCTCAACAAACCCAGCAGGGTTTGACAGGGAAGCCAAACTGTAACTTTCCAACAGGAGACTTGAAAGAGAAAACAGAACTGAAAAAATTCAATTTCAATAAAGATTTTGGGAAATTCAGGCATGGGGAGAATTGGAGGAGACTAAAGATACATCACTGAAAATGTCCCATAGAAGACTCAAAACAAAGAGGGCAGGGCTGGATGGGATATTGGGCAGGAATTGTTCCCTGTGAGGGTGAGCAGGCCCTGGCACAGGTGCCCAGAGCAGCCCCTGATCCCTGGCAGTGCCCAAGGCCAGGCTGGGCCGGGCTTGGAACACCCTGGGGCAGTGGAGGGTGTCCCTGGATGGGCTCTAAGGTCCCTTCCCACCCAAACCACTACAGGATTCCACAATTCCAGGGTTTGAGAACTGCAGAAGGGGATTAGAAAGGAGAAGAAGGATCTGTCCTGTCTCTAAGCAAGGAATCCACCAACAGGTAATTGTGCATCTCTCCTCCATCCCTTCCCACCACTGCCAGTTTATGAAACCTTCACAAAATGTGTTTCAACCCAAGGAGTCCCCACGCCTTTGTGCCTCAGCACTCACCATGACAGCCTGGTCACACACGTTCAGCTGGGGCTGGCCTGGCACCAGGGTGGCCCTGTGCTGCTGCAGCAGCCCTGAGATGTGTTCCACAGCCTGCTGGTACTCCTCGCTGGCAAAGCTGCAGGGGAAAGCACAGGGGTTACTCTGGTGTCCCCGAGGAGCAGGAGATGTGCAAACACCCTGCCAGCTGCCCAGGGCTCTGCAGGGCATGGAATCCAGGCTGGCAGGGGGCAGGGGCTCTGCTCAGGGCAGTGAGGATGGCAGGGCCTTGTCCTCCCCACAAATCACCTGCCTCCAGAGCAGCTCAGCCTCCCAAACTGCTGCTCCAAACGTGCAGATCTGCTAGGAGCTCATGTGGCCTCCCAAGGGAATTGTCTTAGCAAATAAAAGGACATTTCTGGTTTGTCCCTTCAGTGATTACCCAGACACAGGACAAACACCTTCCCAGACAGCTGAGGACAGAATTTCCCAAGGCAGCCCTTCCAGCTGTCCCACCTGAGCTCAGCAGCTCCCCACACTCTCCCCCCTTTCCAAGAGCTCTCCTGCACACCTGCCCCGGCAGAGGGGAGGCGTTTGTTGCAGGGAACAGAAGGGAATGTCAATATTTTGTTTTACAAGAGTGTTCTCAGGAAGGGTTTCAAACACAACCCCAGGTCAGTTCAACTCCACAACCACCAAGGAAATAAACTAAAATTATGCAAACACAGAGGAGAAGAATAGAAGGGCCTTGTCCAAGACAAAAATACCTCCCCCATTCCACAAAATGCTGATGTTCTGCCCCATCCACATTCTTCCACCACAGCTTGATTATTCCAAGCTGGGAGCCATCTGCCATGCCCCAAAATGTGGTTCTAATGACCAGATCCTGACCCACCTGATTCCTCCAGCTGCCATTTGCTGGAGTGGCTCAGGGTGCACTTCACTAATATCTCAAGTATTTCTAAAAAGCAGGATTCCTAACAAAGATCTTTCTTTGTCCATCACCTTAAGAGTCACTTAAAAACCACCAAACCCTCCCAGAGAGCGGCAAATTCCTTGTGAAGATAAAAGAACCAATGCAGCTGGGTCCTGACCTCGGGCTCCCCCTGCTCCCAGCCAGGCTGGCCAGCAGCCCCACACTCCAGCTAATTTCCTTCTTTGCAAAACAATCGCATTTGGAAGGCCAGCGATGTGCCAAGCGTTTCCAGTAAACCCTATAAATATCCCAGCTGGGCAGGCAGCCAGGCAGAGGCTGATTGTGGGGCTGGGCTGATAGAGAGCAGGAAGGGAACGTGGGATGAGGAGCTGGAGCTGCTGCTCTCACACCCAGCTGCCTGGATCCTGCTGGACAGAGCTGGAGGACCACCCTGAAACCCAGAGGATCCTGAGAAGCTCCTGAATTTCATAGAAGCCGACAATCTTTGGGTGGGAGGAGATTTAAAATTCATCTCATCCCATCCCTGCCATGGGTAGGGACACCTTCCACCATCCCAGGCCCTGTCCAACCTGCCCTTGGGCACTGCCAGGGATGCAGGGGCAGCCACAGCTGCTCTGGGCACCTGTGCCAGGGTCTCATCACCCTCAGAGCCAGGAATTCCTTCCCAATGTCCATCCATCCCTGCTCCATGGAGGTTGGTTTTTATTTCTTGACCCCATTGATATTCCCATTCCATGGAGGTTGGTTTTCATTTCTTGACCCCATTGATATTCCCATTCCATGGGGGTTGGTTTTGTTTTCTTGACCCCATGGGAATCCCCAGTCCATGGAGGTTGGTTTTCATTTCTTGACCCCATTGAATCCCCACATTCCATGTGGGTTGGTTTTTCTGCCTTGGCTCCATGGCTCAGTTTAATCTCAGATATTACTGTGCAGCTCCACAACATGCCCCAAAATCCCACATCCACGGATTTGTGAAGTATTTACCGACTGCACAGGAGTTAAAACTGCCTCCAGCCCTAAGCAAGTGCATTTTGAGACAAAATCTGCAAGAGTGCCTGGAATTTGCATGCAAAATGGGGATAATTACCTCATGGTAATCAGCCAGAGCTGTTAGGGGAGCTGGGAACCTCTCCTGCCTGGAGTCCCATCCTCTCCGGGAGTGCACACGCAGGCCTGGGCTGCAGGGCCAGGTTTGCTGCATTCCCTGCCCCACAAAGAGGTGCAATTATCTGTCCAGGTGCCTGGGCACCATTGTCTGGGAGGAGCAGCCTCCAGGGCGAGCTGCATTTCCTATTCCAGCTCAGCAATCCCGGCAAGGAGGGCTGGGAATAGCACTGCAAGGAGGAGAGGGTGAGCAGGTGGTGTTGTGAGGAGCTTGCTAAAAGAGATCCCCCAGCGTCCACGAAATTATTCCAGGCTCAGAAGGAGGGAGCAGAGTGGACAAAGTCCAGGGTCATTACACTAATTGACACTTTACCTCCGGGAAGCCCCTGGAGATGCAATCAGGGCTGCATTGGAGAGCAGGGTCCCAGGCACAGGTGTGGGCTGTGCTTCCTTCATTTACTGTAATTGTGCCTTGGCAATCTGCTCCATCCTCCTCCCCCCACAGCTCCTGGAACCTGCTCTGCTGCTTAACCCCAGCAAAGCCAGCCTGCAGGAGGAGGGCTGGCCTCACCCAGAGCCAAACTCTGCTTGAATCCCCTGCTCCTGGGGGTTCCACCTGCAGGGATGGCTCCCTGCCACCATTAAATGCACCCTCAAATAGATCAGCACCCAAATAAATGCAGGAGCATTTCCAGCAGGGTTTCAGGATGTTTGTGTTACACCTCATGGCCTGGGAGTGGTGGGGCCCTGGTGAAGCTGAGAGGGCTGGGACAAAATGAGAATGATATTTTATAAAAACTCCCATAATGGGAGTCACAAAAACCTGCAAAGGGCTCTAGACCAGGCTGGACAGGGCTTGGAGCAGCCAAAGGTGATGAGTTTTACACCCATGAGTTTTAAAGGCCCCTTCCAATCCAAACCATTCCATGGTTCTAGGAACAGCAGCTCTCAGATTGATATGAAGTTATGGGAAGAGTATAAAATGTGGCTAATGATACTTCACTTCCTTCTCCCCTGGAATTATTTTAATTAAAACCATTATTTTTAATTCTGAAATACACCCAGATTCTGATAATTTGATTTTATCTGTTATCAGTGCTTTGAGGCTTCGCAGCACCGTGGTATCCAAGTCTTGATCTTGTCTTATTACTCAGTCTTCCTCAGTTCCTCTCTCCTATTATCAGGTTTATTTGCAATTTAAGGTCTGCACAATGCAGGAGGCAGAGACAGGTTTGGGGCTCTGCTGCTGGAATTACTGGAGAGACTCAGAGGAGCCAAAGGAAAACAAATGAGGAACCAAAGGCTGAAGGTGGCCCCTACCCTGAGTCACCCCGGGTCCTGCAGCATTTTGGGCCCAGATGCATCCCTGGAGGCATGAGGGCACATGGCCACAGGAAACCTTGGAATTCCAGAATTCCTTTTCCAGGGTGGGAGAGCCCAAGCTGTGATGATCAGCACACCCCCTGCAGCAAGGAGATGTGGTGGTGCTGATCCTCCACCTGCTCACCTCTTCTCATGGAAGTTCTCCCTCCTCAGCTCCCAGAATCCTGGATTTCAGTGCCCGGAACCCCAGCACTGACATGGCAAAGGGGATAAAGGTGGGGTGAGGGGTGAAGCCTTCATCTGGGGGTGAACAGGGACAGGAGTAACAGCTATCCACTGATCCTGGCTGCTCCTGTGCTATTCCTGAACTTTCATTTTCAGTGCTACTCCTGAATCACAATTTATGTTCTGTGTCCTTCAGGCCACTTTCTTGTGGCTGCAGCACTGCCTGGACCTGTCTGTGGAGATGATGATGAAGATGATGGTGTCCCTGTCAAACTGCATTTTGCATTTTTCCCAGCTGGTTCATGCAGGGTTTTTCTCCCAACACTCCTTTCCATGCAGCATGGCTCCACCCAGAGCTCCTGAGGGCTGTGGGCTGATGAAGCACAAGCCCCAGGCTGGTCCCAGACCCTGGGAAAGGGCAGCCAGAGGTGTTTGTGCCCATCCCCAGTCTCCAGGCTGCTGATTCTCCTCCACAGGAGGGTTTGATTTCCCCCTCTTTGGGTTTTATTTCCCTCTCTTCCCTCCATCTGGCTCTGTCCCAGTCCCACCCTGCTTCTCCCACCTTGCTGCAGCCATTCCCAGTGTTTGGTGCTCCATGGTTGTTATTGCCACCTCTGAGGCTCCTCAGCCACAATCTCCACATTTCAGTGTCCCCTCTCCTGTGGCAGCTGCTAATTCACCCTGCACTGCAGCTGGTGCCATCTCCCTTTTCCAGGATGAGGAGTCAGCACCTCCCCCAGGCACAATCCTTGCTCTCTGTTATTATTCACATTTTCCCCCTGTTTTGCACCTTCTCTCTCTTCCCCACAGCCAGGTTTGTGCCCTGAGCACTAAGGTGAGACTGGCAACTTTTCTGTCAGATCCTTTCCCCTTTAGCTTCCCTTCAGGAGCTCCTTCCCTTTTTTTTTTTTTTTTTTCTGGCTCTATAACCACTGCAATTACCTCTCTGATGATTTCCTGAATTTTCCATCTGCTCGAAATAGGCACTTGTGAGCTCTCTTCTTAATTAATGTGTTCTAAAATCATTATGTTCATCAACCAAGCCTTATCACTTCCATTTTCTTCCATAATAGTAAAATCCATTGCCCTAAGTAAAACACAGGAATTTTGATGTTCATAATTCAATAAACTCATTGCTCAGAGCAGAAGCTGCTGCAAACCTGGAGTAACAACAAGGTGTGAGCAGCCTGTACTCACCCTGTCCTCACTTGTTACTAAGCTTTGCACCTCTGGCTCAATCTGGCAGCATTTCAGAGATTTCTCTTATAAATTCCTTGGCTTCAAAACACTATTTCTACTTCAGGCTGCATTAGGTATTTTACTAACTGTGTTTTCAGCTGTGCCAGCTTTGCTTTTTATATATACATATAAAAATATATAAATAATATATTATATATGAATATATCTAGATATATAAATATAAATATTATATATAAAATAATTCTGCAGTATTTTACTAAATGTCTGCATAAACAATAATCTGACTCAGATAATAAAACTGACAACTGCTGGTGAAGATGGTACCAACAGATAATTTTGCTGAATTTGTCACATTGCAGGAACAAGTTCCCTCTGTGGTACTTAGCACACACACCACAGCCCAAAGATAACAGAATCTGGCCAAGGAAAAAACCTATCAGATCTTTTAGTTCTGCATTTGGATAAATTTGGTAACAAGGGCAGTTATTGCATGCAGGGAGGAAACAAAGCCCTGCTCAGAGTCAGGGAAATGCTTCTGCTTTTTGTGCTGTCCCACTCACATTCTGGGTTACAGTTTAAAATTGAGGGCTATGAAAAAAGAGAGATTTTCTGTCCCCAGCCTGCACTGACCTGGTGACAAAAAGGCACAAAGGGCTCCCCTCTCACCACCAGGGATGAGGTGACTCCTACACAGAGCTCAAAGGGGCTCCAGGAGAGGGACTGGGGACAGGGATCGAGGGACAGGACACAGGGATGGATCCCAGTGCCAGAGGGCAGGGCTGGATGGGATATTGGGAATGAGGAATTGTTCCCTGGCAGGGTGGGCAGGCCCTGGCACAGGTGCCCAGAGCAGCCCCTGGATCCCTGGCAGTGCCCAAGGCCAGGCTGGGACAGTGGGAGGTGTCCCTGCCATGGCAGGGGTGGCACTGGATGAGCTTTGAGGTTCCTCCAACCCAAGCCACTGCAGGACTCCAGGATATTTCAAGGCAAAGGAAATACCACAAACACAACCGTGTCCCTTGGCAGAAGATGGGGGGCAGCAGCAGGAGGAGAAGCCCCAGCCATGGTGGGAGGGCTGTTCCCAGAGCAGCTGAGGGCAGGGGGGCTCAGCAGTGCCAGACACAGCCCCACACCTGGCAAGACCTCCTGGAATTGCCTGAGCCACCTTCAGTGCATGAGGAGCTCCTTTTGCTGGCACTGTTTGCAGGCAGGCTCAGGAAATGCAGGGAGCAGTGTGAGGAAGAGGAAGGACTGGTCCTGCCTCACCAAGAACCCCAGGGAGCTGAACATGTCACTGCTGCCTCTGGGGCTTGCAGGAGTTGCACCTTCAGGGATCCCTTCAGCAGCCACTTCAGCACAGACTGAAAAGCTTTGCTTGATTTTTGGAAAAATGGGTAATTTCTATCCACTCATCTTCTTAATACAGAGTAACAATCATGGAATGGTTTGGATGGGAAAAGAACTCAAAACTCACCTAGTTCCAACCCCCATGGGATGACTCAAATAGAGGTGGGCTTGGCAGGGCCAGGTTGATGGTCCTAAGGGTCCAATCTGAAACATTCCCTGAACCTATAAAGTGTCCCTGTGTGTCCTGCACGTGCAGTGTCCCTGCCCTGCAGGTCAGGCTGCTGCTGCAGGGGACTGAGCTGCTGATTCCTGGGCTTCCCTGGCTCTGAGATCCCAAATACAGGAGCAGTGAATCCCTCTGGAGGTGCATGTGATGGCAGCCCCTCCTGAGCAGCAGGGACACCCACTGCTGGTGGCTTTGCACATGATCCCACTCCAAACTCATGTAAATCAAGAGAGATGACAGATTATTAAAACCATTTCAAGGGAGAAGAAAAGGCTGCACTAAATAAGGAATAAATGTAATAAAAAGTGAGCAAAAGCAGGCAGGGAGAGCAGAGGCAGCACACAGGGACAGACAGATGCAGGCTGGGAGCAGGATGCTGGATTCCCTTTGGAGAAACATTAGTGTGGGGACTCCCAGCAGGCTCCCTGCCAAGGGGGATAATTAAGCTAAATAAAAATACACACCAGGAACAGCTCCACAAATGAGGATAATTTAATTACCACATTCGATAGAGCAGACCCACTTCCCATGAGTTTTCCATTGTGACCAGAGAGGAGACAATAGCAGCAGAATGTGCTGGAGAAAGGAAAAGTGGTGTGCTAAAAGCAGGGCTTCTATTAGGGGCTGCATAATAAACACCAGCCCAGCTCTCCATAATCGGGTCATAATCTTGCCATAAAATTCAATCAGAGCAACAGCTTGTGAATATCCAAAAAATCAATGCAGCCATATGAGAAATGATTGCAGTGGAACCCTGGAATTTATTTCAATGCTCACTCTGGGGTGGTGGGAAGGAGCAGTGGAATCACAGGGAAGCAGGTGCTGCAACACCTCTGAGGGGAGAGCTCCTCTGCCTCAGACCCAGAGGAAACACAAACAGAAGCCCAAAATCACAGAGTGTTTAGGGCTGAGAGCTCTAGAGCTCACCCAGTGCCATCCCCTGGCAGGGCAGGGTCACCTGGAGCAGGTGACAAAGGTGACACACACAGCAGGCAAGCTACAGTTCAGTTACTGCTGCCCATTCTTTTCATTTTTGGAAAAAGAGATTATTTGTGTACACTCATTTCCTAAAACAGAATCACAGAATCCTGGCATGGTTTGGGTTGGAAGAGACCTCAAAGCCCATCCAGTGCCACCCCTGCCATGGCAGGGACACCTCCCATTGTCCCAGGGTGCTCCAGCCTGGCCTTGGGCACTGCCAGGGATCAGGGGCAGCCACAGCAGCTCTGGGCACCAGGAGCTCAGCACCCTCACAGGGAGTAATTCCTCCCCAATATCCCACCCATCCCTGACTCTGGGGCCCCCATTCCCTGTGTCCTGTCCCTCCATCCCTTGGCAATGACCCAGTTGTTAAATTTCCCTGGAAGCCCAGCCCGGTTTGGTTTCACAGAGCTGCATTTCCAGCCCTGGGGCTGCAGCTGTGCTCTGTTCATTAGTGCTGGAATGCAGAGGGAGCAGAGCCCCCAAAGAGCTTTACCCACTGCTGATGCCCCTCTAAAGTGCTCTGTTAGAGAGAGAATGGAAATATTCTCCCTCCCCTCCTCTCTCCAGTGAAAACACTCCATGGGCAGCACAGGCTCAGCTCCTCTGGAAGGAATGGGCTGAGTGTGTCCACTCAATTATTCAAACCAGCTGAGTAATGGCAGCCCTGTCAGCTCAGGAAACATCTCTGCCTCTCCAGGCTGCTGCACAAACCCAGCTCTGGGCAGGCAGGCCCAGCAGCTCCTGTTCCTTGATTTATTTCCACCCTGTCCCTGTCAGAGCCCCTGCAAGGGATGAATGAGGCTGAGTGTCCCTGCATTTGCTGCAGGGAGGGAGGTGGGGACACCTTGGGAGCATTTTTGGAGGTGGCAGAGCTCTTTGTGGGCTCTGCTGAGTGCATAAATCCTTGTGGGAATCTCTCAGGGCATGGTGTGTGCCAGAGATAAATATGACAACAGCAGGCTTAGAGGAGAATGGATTCAAACAGGCAGGAGAGCCCGAGGAAGGAGCAGGATTGGGCACAAAGTCCTGCCCAGCCCCTCTGGAGCAGCTCCCTCAGCTGGGCCAGGAGACTGGAAGGTGACCAGTGTGCCCTCCAGGGATTCCAGCACCACACAGGTTATTTATTTATTTCTCCCTGGCCCCAAAGCTCCCCAGCAGCTCTGTTTGAATGTGCTGCACCCAGCCCTGACCTGACCTGGCCAAAAATTGGTGTTTTACAATTACTACTGGTTAATTATTCCAGTTAATATTCTGTTTTCCTCCTCCCCAAGGGACTGCAGGACACACAACAGGAACAACCAGGCTGACAGGTCCATGTGCACACCCATCCCACCTGACCACCCAAAACCAAGGGTTTTGCTCCTTCTCCTGAGAAAAAGCCAGCAGGAAAACCATCATTTCCCAGCCTGGCTTGCTGGGACAGCTTTTAAAGCAGATTTTAAGAACCAGCAAATAAATTGTGAACAGTGACACTGGTGAGGTTCCAGACAGCCCAGGAAGTGGCTCACCTCAAGGGAAACTTCTCCCCAGGGTCCCTGCCCAGGTGGAAGAGCAGGGGCAGGTAGGTGTGCTCCTCCTGGGTGTGTGTGGTCACTCCATCCACGCTCTGGCCAGGACAGAAATCGATGCCCTGCAGGAAAAAGGAGAGAAGTCATCAAAGGTGATGCAGGGCAGGCAGCAAAACTTGAGTTGATGCCACTTTCTGCAGCAAAACACCAACAAACCTCAGGATTTTTTTAAACCAAGAGTCCACTTCAATCTCCAAAACACATTCTGAGCTGCTGGGGTAAAATAAGGTGAGCAAGTGGTGTTGCACTAAGAGCTGAAGCAAGGCCGTGCATGCTTGTCTTATAAAAATATAATCCCAATAAAATATTCATTAAAATGAAATGGCAGAACAAAAGACAAAGAGGTGGAAGCATTTAATCATAAAAGTTCTGCACGTGGAAAGGATTTTCTGGCTGGTTTTTCTGGCTTTGGAAAGCCCCAGGGAGATGGGATTGCTTGACACTTCTGATCAAAACCAAAACCCCAGGAGAGACATCCAGAGAGGCAACAGGCACCTGAAAACTCTCCTGGCAGCACCTGAGGGATTGGTTTCTCTGAGAAAAGAAGCAAATCTAGTTAATTTTATGAAAACTGGTGTGTTTTCAATTGGATTCATGGCAAGCTGGTATTGAGGGCTCCCCTGGGCATGTCAGTGGGGACGGGGGCACTGCAGGAAGGGGAGACACCCCCACATTCCTGTCTCTGGCCATCTGGGGGGCACAGGGTGGGATTTTCCCTGCAGCAGCACTGGATTGGAAGGGCTCAGCTCCTGGGGAAGCAGCTGGGAGCAGCAAGGGGTTAAATGCTGGCTGGGCACCAGAGCTGCCAGCTCCATCTGCCCCAGCCCTGCTTTGCCAGCTGGGAGCTCCCTAATCCCTGGCCTGCAGCCTCCAGGGCCACCAGAGCCCATTTAAACCCCTGCAAGAGCCAAAAATGCAAAAAGCACTCATTTCCCTGGGCAGGCAATAGTGCAGGGCCCCCCAGCCCAGCCCAGCCCAGCCCCAAATGGACTTGTTAAAGCTGGGTTTTACAATTCCAGCCCTCACGCTGCTCCTCACAATCCCAAAGTGCCCCAAGCCACGGACAGAGACATGGAGAGCAGGTAAATGGGAGTGCTCCAGGGAAAGGGGAAAAGCAGCTGTAGCATTTGCTTATAAAACAAACTGAAAAGGCTCTCTACAGATGTTGGTAGGATTTGATTGGCAAACAATTTTCTAAAAATATCCCGTGTTTTTAATGGACAGCTGGTCAGTGGAGCAGTTAATATTCTGCTTTTCAATAAAGCAAGAAGTTTAGAAGCCCATGAAATCCCATTTATCTGCACAGGGCTATAGATTCCTGAATCACTGACTGGAAAAATAAGGGAGTTGCTTGATAGGTTGGAGTGGCCCTACCAATAATGGACTTTAAATGGATACAAAACTGATTGACCTTCCCACCCTGTGATGCCACAGGCCTCTGAAACACACAGGGAAAAGAGATTTTTGTGGGTTTTTTCCCCCACAAAAGGACCAGTTAATGAAAAGGTATCAAAGCCTCCATAACATCCAAATTATAATTTGGATGCAAATCAAACAAGCAATTTAATTAAGAGCCTGCTAATTGGTACAATGCTCCTCGCTGCAAATGCTTCAGTGTGAAAGATTTTTGTCTCTGGGGTGTTTGTTTAGACATTGCTCAGTTTCTATTTTATCTTGTGTTTCCCAGGAAATCCTTGTAGCCTAAAACACAATCCCAAAGATTCCCAGGAAAGAAAATGCTGGGACAATTTGCCTGATGCCACCAGCCCAAAGCCACCTGTCATTCCAATTTAAGCACTCAGTCCCCTCTTGAAAAGCAGTCTAGTGGAGAAAAGTCAAATAAATAAATAGGTAAGCAAATAAAACCCCGAGAATACCATTTCAGGACATTTCTAAAGCATTCCAAGTTTATACCTGCAAATCAAATGGAATATTGCTATTTTTATGTGCTCTGTGAGTCAATATTCAACCTGCAGAGAGAGCTTCAAAGATTTTCTATCTACTCATCAACAAATTAGTAAAAAAAGAGCTATAATTATACAAAATTCAACATTATTTATTTTGTACAGGTAGGTTTGGTGATGTTTGGAGCTGGAGAAGAGGCAAGAGCTGCCTAAGCAGGATAACACCACCCAATTCCTCTCTCCTGTTATCCCTAAAGCTGTTTATTGCCACACTGTTCACAGCAATGTGCAGGGATCAATAATTTGGGCACATTCCTCACTTTTGTCCCTGTTCCCTTTGCAGGTAATGGCTGGAGCCCCATCCCTGCAGGCTCAGGGAAGGACTGGCTGTGGCTCAGTGCTCACACCTGGACTGGTCCCTCCATGGCCCTGGGGCATTTCCAGCCCCAGGATTTTGGGATTTGCAGGGCTCACTGATCAAACACAGCACAAAGGTCACTCCCTGTGCTTCAGCAAACTCTTGGGCTTTTCTCCTCCTGGATAAGCCTGAAAACCAAACCAGCAGCTCCTTTCTGGAGCATCTCCTGCCTTCTCAGGGAGCCCACACAGAGCACCAAAGCTCCTGCCCAGCCCTGAGGGTGTTTTGCACCACCACAGAAAGCTGTTTGCTGCAGGAGAGACCCCAACCATCCTTTCATTCAATGATTCTGATTAAAACACGGCATTCCCTGCCCACCAGGTGAGCTCCAGCCATCACCACCCTGCCCTCCTCAGCAATCCCACAGCCCTGTTGTTTCTCCATCCCTGGCATGCAGCAGCCTTTGGTTGCACAGCTTTCATTTCCAGAGCAAATGGCCCACAGATGCTGTGTCAATAGAGACATGAGACAAACACAGCCGCTGCCACTTTGGGCTCCCTGCCAGGAGATGGAATCACCACTTGTGTTAACGGGAGCCCTCTGGCAATTGCTCAGCCTGGCTGCAGCCCAGCCCAGCCCAGCTCTGCTCACCCAGCACCAAAAGCAGGTGAACACTGCAAGCAGAACAGCACAGCTGCCAATTAAAGCCTGGAAAATTTTGTTTCTTGCTGTTTGCACAGGTAAACGGTGCCCTTGGTGTCCTGGCCATTCCTGGGGAAATCCTCCTTGGGATCAGCTCCAAGTGGAGAGGCCAGGCTTCAATCCTG